GAGAGCCCACCTGTCCCTCAGTCCCCTACTGAGCAGGCCAGGCTGGAGTAAGTACAGAGGCCAGCCTGCCAGGCTCGCCATGTGCTCAGGGCTTCAGCAATGCTTCCCCCCAGCGGGGGTTCCATGTGCCTCATGCAGCCAGAGCTGGGGGACTCTCAGGCCCTTCCTCTCCCAGACATATGCCTCCTGTTACCCAAGGGGAAGGGAAGCAGCTCATTGGGGTCATAGTGGTCCCTGTGCTTCAACAGTGACACCTTAACAGCTTCAACCCAAAATGAGGACACAGACTCCCAACCTGGGGCCCAGTCTCCCAGGAATAGGGCGGGGGGGGGTGGTATCCAGGGTGCTGTATGGTGTGGGGGTAGAGGAGCAACCTAGGACTGAGGGAAGGGCAGGGACTGAGGGCCAACAGAGGCTGGAGGGGCTGAAAAAAAGACACTGGATCACATTCATTATTTTAACATAAACTGAGTGCCTGTTGTGGTAGCTCAGTCAGTAAAGCATGAGATTTTTAAGCTAAAGCCTGTTGTTTACCAGGCCCTTTTCTAGGCATGGGTCATAGCTCTCAAGCTGCCAGACATGGGACAGCCTGGTGTACCCACTGGGACAGCTGTCCCCTTCCCCTGCTTTGAGGGTCCTTGTCTAGAATCAAGACAGTGAACATGAACAGCAGCAAGGTTGCAAGTTAGATGTTAAGCAGAATTTCTCTCCATATGTTGAACTGGGGATGCTGGGTTGGCATTGACCCTCCCCAGATATGGAGGATTGAACAGGGGCTGGCCTTGCGGGGTAAGTCCTGGGTCTGCTCAGCGCATGGACTGCTCCCTGTGTGTCTGTGTGTGCCTGCAGTTTGGGGCAGTGCCCAGGGCACAGCAAGGCATGTACACCACCCTGGGCTGGGGTGTGTCAGACACCCTCACTGATGAGCGCTTCCCTCCAGAGCCCGGTTCCTGGAGAATGTGGCAGCAGCAGAAACAGAGAAGCAGGCTGCACTGGCCCAGGGCCGGGCAGAGACATTGGCTGGGGCCGTGCCTGATGAGGCCGATGGACACCCAGGTGAGTAGGTGGGTGGGCAGAATCCACTCATGTTGCTCTTTTGCTCCACAGAGGGCATGATGCTGACAGCTGCTTCTCTTTTCTAGATACCCGGGAACTATGTGGCTCCCCAGAACCAGGCCCTGCACCCAGAACCCCTGAGAGCCCTGCCCCCCGAGGTCTGCTCCGGGCCCAACGGCGCCTTGAGCCAGAGCCCAAGGCGCCACTGGCCCCACCAAGCCCCAAGGCTGAGCCCATTCAGGAGTTTCCTGTCCGTGTACCCAAGCTCTGCATCGGAGACCTGGACTTCTCAGACCTGGGGGAGGACGAAGACGAGGACATGCTGAATGTGGAAGCTGTGGAGGCTGTGAAAGGGGTCCCACCCCCACCACCCCCACTGCCTGTGCTCTCTGGAGGTCCCCTGCCTCCTCCGCCCCCACCTCCCCCACCCATCAAAGGCTCACTCCCACCACCTCCACCTCCAGCCGCCCCCCTTCCTCCCTCAGCACCTGATGGTCTAGCCCTCCCCACCAAGAGGAAGACAGTAAAACTCTTCTGGCGGGAGCTAAAGCTGGTTGGGGGCCATGGAGGCTCTGGGAGCCATTTTGGGCCTTGCCCCACCCTATGGGCCTCACTGGAACCTGTAGCAGTGGACACAGCCCGGCTGGAACACCTGTTTGAGTCCCGTGCCAAGGACGTGCTGCCTTCCAAGGTAAATCCACCCTCGTCTGCAGGGTAACCCCAGTGGAGGCAGGAGGCAGTCAGAGCTTAAGGGTCTGAACTGCCACCCATTTCCCACATGGGGGAACCGAAGCAAAGAAAGGCACCGAGTCTTGTCTGAGGTCTCTCAACAAGGTATCAGCAAAGCCCTAACTAGAATCTCAGCTCATCCCAAAGCCTTACACATCCCACCTCAGGTTGTGGGGTGACCACACCATCTGGCCATTTCAAAGGGGGCTTTAAGAGTGCCGTCTTATATTGTTTCCCCAGCTAGTTCCTTTCCCAATCTCATACCGCTCTTCTCCCCAACTTTAAAGAAAGCCGGTGAGGGCCGCCGGACAATGACCACAGTGCTGGACCCCAAGCGCAGCAACGCCATCAACATTGGCCTAACCACCCTGCCACCTGTGCATGTCATTAAGGCTGCCCTGCTCAACTTTGATGAGTTTGCTGTCACCAAAGATGGCATTGAGGTGGGGATACCAGCTAGGGGTATTGGAGGGAGGTGGGAGGTCTGGCCCTCTCCTTTGGTCAGTGGGCACGGGCTTGGTATTTCTACAGAGCACTCCCCAGACCCTGGGGATCCCCCAGATGACCTAGGGATGAGTCCAAACCAACTCCTGAAGCCTCAGGCCAGGACTGAGGGGACTATGTGGGTTGGTGGCTGCATCCTCAGAAACTGCTGACTATGATGCCCACGGAGGAGGAGCGGCAGAAGATCGAGGAGGCCCAGCTGGCCAATCCTGACGTACCCCTGGGCCCAGCTGAGAATTTCCTGATGACCCTTGCCTCCACTGGGGGCCTGGCCGCCCGCCTACAACTCTGGGCCTTCAAGCTGGACTATGACAGCATGGAGCGGGTACTTGGATTATGGGGGGGCGGGGCAGGAACGGGGGCAGGTGAGCACAAGGACCAGGTAGTTTCAGAGTCCCTCATCTCCCACTCCAGGAAATCGCAGAACCACTATTTGACCTGAAAGTGGGCATGGAACAGCTGGTACAAAATGCCACCTTCCGCTGCATCCTGGCCACTCTCCTGGCTGTGGGCAACTTCCTCAACGGTTCCCAGGTGAGTAGGAGCGCACAAGGGCTGGCGGCCAGGGCTCTGGAGCCAGCCAGGCCCAGGCTCAGATGGGGTCCTTTCAGAGCAGCGGCTTCGAGCTGAGCTACCTGGAGAAGGTGTCAGAGGTGAAGGACACGGTGCGCCGGCAGTCACTGCTGCACCATCTCTGCTCCTTGGTGCTCCAGACCCGGCCTGATTCCTCGGACCTCTACTCAGAAATCCCTGCCCTGACGCGCTGTGCCAAGGTTAGCGCCAGCCAGAGGCTTGGCTAAGACCAGCCACGGCAATGAGGGAGCGCTGCTTCCTGGGGCTGGCTCTCCCTCCCTGTCTGGGCTATTGTGCCAGAGTGTGCCCAGCTAGGTGTCTGCGTGGACTGTGTCCTTGGCCAGAAACACTCTTTCCTCTGCTGGCCTGGCTACACACACCTACTGTCTTTGGGTCTCCATTTAGCCACCACTTCCCCCAAGAAAGCTTCCCTGTTCCCCATTGTCTCCTGCATTAGACTGTGAGCTTTTGGAGGGCAGGAGGCAGGTCTTGGCTAGCTGGGTCCCTAGGGCCCAAGCTGGCTGGCCTGGCAGAGGCAGCTCAGGTGGTGCCCTTCTGTGGGGGGACAGCATGCATACCCCCTGCTTTTCCAGGTGGACTTTGAGCAGCTGACTGAGAACCTGGGGCAGTTGGAGCGTCGGAGCCGGGCAGCTGAGGAGAGCCTACGGAGCTTGGCCAAGCATGAGCTGGCCCCAGCCCTGCGTGCCCGCCTCACCCACTTCTTGGCCCAGTGTGGCCGCCGTGTAGCCATGCTGCGGGTGGTGCACCGCCGTGTCTGCAACAGGTGGGCACACGGGCCAGAGAGGCAGGAGCGCCACCACCATCGCTCAGACCCCACGCAGGACTCACCATTCCTCCCTACCCCGGCCTGCTTAGGTTCCACGCCTTCCTGCTGTACCTGGGGTACACGGCCCCGGCGGCCCGCGAGGTGCGCATCATGCAGTTCTGCCACACGCTGCGCGAGTTTGCACTGGAGTACCGCACTTGCCGGGAACGCGTGCTGCAGCAGCAGCAGAAGCGTGCCACGTACCGTGAGCGCAACAAGACCCGGGGCCGCATGATCACGGAGGTGGGCACCCTTCCGGGTTTGGACTGCCACCCCCTGTGGCTTCCTTCCCCCGCTCCCAGCTCATCCTTCTGTCCTCTGCAGACAGAGAAGTTCTCAGGTGTGGCTGGGGAAGCCCCCAGCAACCCATCTGTCCCGGTGGCTGTGGGCAGTGGGCCAGGGCGGGGTGATGCCGACAGTCACGCCAGCATGAAGAGTCTGCTGACCAGCAAGCCAGAGGACACGACACATGGCCGCCGCAGCAGAGGTGGGACCTGGGGCCACTGGGAGCAATGGGCTTCGGGGTCACCTTGACCTGACTTCCCCATCTGGTCTCCCTTAGGCATGGCCCAGAGTGGCTCCCCAGTCATGCCGACAGCAATGGGGTCCTCCACTGCACCCCCAGAAGAACCCCCAGGCTCCAATTTACCCAGTGACACTTCAGATGAGATCATGGACCTGCTGGTGCAATCAGTGACGAAGAGCAGTCCTCGTGCCTTAGCTGCTCGGGAACGCAAGCGTTCCCGGGGCAACCGCAAGTCTTGTGAGTGCTCCCCAAATTCCCACTACCCGCCTTAATCCCATCAACCCCTTTCCAACCCTGCTCTGTCCCTGCAGTGAGACGGACACTGAAGAGCGGGCTCGGAGAGGACCTGGTGCAGGCACTGGGACTGAGCAAGGGGACTGGCCTGGAGGTATGAAGGCGCCGCCTCCAGGACACCTACCTGTCGGGGCCCCAGTCTGCAGTACAAGAGACTAGAGAGTGAGGAGGGATCAGCAGAATTTGGGCCTCTTCTCAACCCCAGGGCCAGCCACTCTGTGCCCAGTGGTCAGTGCCTTGAGCAGTATTAGCTGTGCGTGCCTGCGTGCGTGCGTGTTTGTGCGTGTGTGTGTGTGTGTGTGTACACGTACTTGTATGAGCTCCCTGAATACGTGGAGTATAATAAAGTTTTCCTAGCCAACCCAAGAGCATTTTCCTTCCTTCGAGGTACCCACCACACTTGGTCTGTAGCAGGAGGCTAATACTGGCTACAGTACAGCAGGACTGGCTCTCCCTGCCTCGCCCTTCATTATCACCCGCACAGCCGTTAGCCACATTCTGAGCCATTTATTCAACAATCCTTTACCTTAGACTGCTTTTGGGCCCTGGACTAGGCAGGCCCTCCCTGCTCCTGGCACGGGGACCATGCAGCCTGTGACCCAAACGTCAGGGGCTATAACCGCTTCATCTGCCGCCGCTCCTGTCGGCGCTGCCGTTTCTCATTGTGCTCTGGTGCTGGGGTGCCACCGTCGGCTGTGAACCAAGGGCCCAGCACATTCACCCAGAGGAGGTAAAGGGCCCGGCCCGGAGCCTAGGACAAAAAAGGTAACTTGAAGCCAGGTACAGGAAATGAAAGAAGAGAAGGGTTAAATGCTCTAGCCCCTTCTTGGGAGCCCTACAGTCCACGCACCAGAAGCCAGAAGGACCAGATGTAGAGGGAGAAGCAGCTGAGCACCTGCACAATGGCTGTCAGTAGGATCACATCCTTAAGGTGCCTGTGGATAGAAGGCAAAGGGAGGCTGCAAGGGCCAAAAATAGTAGATGGGCCCCAGTTCATCTCCCTTCTACCCTCTTTAAGTTGCGGGCAGTTGTGGGTCTCGGGCTATCTGGGCCCCAACACCCCAGCCCCAGGGCCGCTCACCTGGGCTGGCAGCGGGGGACACTCACTCTGCCATGCCCTGCTCCATGTTGAGGTCCATTCCACCATCCATCAGAGCCCCATCCTCAGAAAAGGCTGCCCGTGCCATCGAGCTCATAGAGTGGTAGCTGGCCCCATATACTGCCAGACTAAAGGCCAGGGCCATCTGCAGAATAAGAATGGTATCAAAGGCCAGCCAGTAATCCTATATGCTTATCCACTTCCCAGGATAGGGGACACTTACCCAGGCCCAAAATGAGGCAGATGAGTAGAAGAACACCAAGGTCACAAGACAGTAAATGGCCTGTAAACAGATATATGATCAGGCTGGGATCAAAAGCTACCCTAAACCACGGGCCTTCCTCGACTCTGACGAGGAGTTAGGCCAGCTGGTGGAAAGAGACCGGCTGTTTCTCATAGGGTTGGTGGGAGAAAGGGGTCTGTTCCCTGAGTCCCTGAGTCCCCAGACTCCCCTCTGACGTGTCAGCCCAGGAAAGAAGGCCCTGTGTATCCGGGATGGGAAGGATGGGCTCAAGTCCATCTGAGACTCAAACGCTCCTTTCATTTTTGGTTGTTTTGTTTTGACTACTGAGCATTTTTTGGGGGCCAGGATCCATTCTCATTTCTTTTTTTTAATTTTTAAGAATTTTTTTAAAAGATTTTATTTATTTGACAGAGACACAGCGAGAGAGGGAACAGAAGCAGGGGGAGTGGGAGAGGGAGAAGCACGCTTCCCGCGGTGCAGGGAAGGACCCTGGGATCATGACCCGAGCCAAAGGCAAACGCTTAACAACTGAGCCACCCAGGTGCCCCTCATTTCTTTTTAATTGTAGTTTTCTTCTGGAAAACTACACATGACTGTCACATACCACCACGCCCACCCACACCCACACCCACCCCCACCAGAGCTGACTGTGGGATCTCGGGTGGGCACAGAAGCAAGGAGGTGGGTACTTACATTGGCCCCCAGTATGATCCGCAGATAGAACTTCAGAGTCTCTCTGTTCTCTTCAAATATCTGCTTCTTCCCTCTCGTGCCCACTTTGCCCTTGGGCTGCAGAGGGATGGTAAGGTGCTGTCAGAGCCCTCCTCAGCCAGGGTCCTCCTTACCCTCCCCCAAGTCTGGTCAGGTACAGAATTACACCTGCACCTAAGCCAGATCCCCACGTGCTCAAATCAAGCACAATCCTTGGGATGCCCACCCCTCCTCCCGTCCATCCTGCTTAGGGCTGACACCATCTGTGCAACACCCCTACCGATGATCGCCTCCTGCTCACCCTGGAACAATCCAACACTAGGCTGATATCTCCTGGCTCCCCTGGTAAGGTCCAGCTTTGGGATGACTACCCCTTCAAGGGGGACTCCTGAGTGGCGCTGAATGGTGCGCGCCTCCGGCCTCTGCTGGAGTAGTCCAGATCTCGGCTGACGCCCACCCCTTTCAGGCCCCTAAGGTCTCCGACCAGGTCTGGTACAGTCTGGTACTGACGCCCACTCCCCTCCCGCACCACTTCTGGTAGGGCGGTGCGCCGCTCCATTCCCCCGCGCTAGCTCTAGTAGGGTCTGGCCACTGCATGGCGCCCCCCTCTGGCGGACCGCTTCCTTTGATATCCTTCCTCTGTTTTCAGGCTCCCGGCCCCGGGAATCCTCTACCGTTGCGAACCCCGCCCTACCCGCCCTCCTTACCGCCATGGCGCGACGCAAACACCCAGCGAGAAAAACCAGGGAGAGCGACCGAAACCGCGGTCAGGAGGTACCACATCGGCAGCACAGGCACTTCCGGTGCAGACCCAAATCGTCACAACTGTGACGGAAGTGGGGGGGTCCACTTCCCTCCCAAGGCCCTCCCCGCCAGTCGGTAGGACTACACTTCCCAGAAGGCCTTACACGGGGGCGGAGGCGGCGGGGATGCGATGGCGGAGTCGCTGCCCCTGGAGGTGAGAGGAGGCCGCCCTCAGGCCTGGCTTGGGACAGGCTCCGCCCTCGGGGTCCCGGGCTGGGGGGAGGGGCTGTCAGACAGCTCGCCAGGCTCCCCCCGCCTGGCGGAAACGACCTGCCCGAGAGATCCCAGGACCTGCAGGCTATGGGTAACGGCCCTGCCTTTGGGCCACCCTGTACCCTTAGCTTGGGGGAACCGTCCTCTCCTTCCCCGTCGGCCCCAGGAGATGGCTGCCCTGTCACCTCAGCGAGGACAGAGTCTCTGCCTATTCCCTTCTCTAGCGATGGCCGCCCCTCCCCCTCAGTTCTGGAAGATGACCGTTCCATCCCCTCGTCCCCGAATGGTAACCGATCTTATCCTCCTTGGCCCCTTGAGATGATCACTCCATTCCCTCTGCCCCGAAAGACGGCTGCCCCCTTCCCCTGGCGGTGGGAGACAGATTGCCCCTCCCATCAACTCCGGCCACAGTCGTTGGATTACTTCACCCAGGACAGGCCTGCTTCCCACTCGAGTCCTCGGTCCCTAGTGATGGCTGTCCCTACCTCCTTCACCCCATGGGATGTTTGCTCCTTTTCCTTAGCCTGGAACAAGACCACTCTCCCGCCACTGGCCAGAGAGAGAGAACAGATTTTGTTCCCAGTGGCCTCTTGGGATGGCCTCTCCGTCCCTTTTGCCTTGAGAGTTGGCAGCTCCCTCCCGTTGCCCACGGGAGACAAGACACCCTTTCCTCATTGGCCCTGGAAGGTGCTCCTTCCCCTTAGCAAGAATAGGGCAGCTCCCACCCCCTTTAGCCCCCTACCATGCATCCTTTATCTCCTATGCCCCAGAGGATGTCTACTACATAAATCCCAGGAATGACCAGTCATATCTCAGTTGTAGCCCCTTAGGATGGGGTTCATGGAGGGTGACTCCATCCTTACCATTGCCTCCTCTTCCACCTAGAAAAGCCACCCCCTTCTCAGCTCAAAGAATCATGCTCCCTCTCCTCAGTGAGGAGAGGTTTATTGCCCTCTCCCGTTGCTTTTTGGGTTGGTTGCCAAGCCCCAGAATACAGGATGGCCACTGTCTTAACTTGGCTCAGACAGGCTTCCCTGCCTCCCACAGGGGGGGGGCTTAGTCAGTCCCAATCCCATCAGTGTTCTCTTCCCCCTGTCTAGCTTTCCGGCCCTGAAGGCAGCTCTCCCCAGGCCTCTCAATAATGATCTGTTTTATCTTCCCCACTCCTTCCCTGAGCAAACCTTTGGTGAAAATTGAGGTAGAGGGCTTTGATGAAAATAGAGATAGAGCACTGTCCATCTTTAATTCAAACCAGTAAGTATTGGCTGAGTACCTTTTGTGTGCTAGGGATCAAAGAAAGGAAGAAGAGGTTAAAATGGGCTGGTGAGGTCAAGGTTAAGAAAGGGCATTCCTGGAAAAAGGCCTACATAGGCAAAAGGTAATAGACATGGTATGGTTGTAGGACAGTGGGAAGACTGAACTGGGGAAGCTCTGGGATCAGGGGTCCGGTCAGGCATAGGGCCTGGCAGGATCTTGCTTAGGGTCTTGCTGACCCAAGAGAAGAGATTTTGTCCTGAGGGTACTGGGGTACCCTGAAGGTTTTCATCAGGGATGTGCTAAGACTAAAAGCTGTTTTTTAAGGGGGCGCCTGGGTGGCTCAGTTGGTTAAGCGACTGCCTTCGGCTCAGGTCGTGATCCTGGAGTCCCTGGATCGAGTCCCGCATCGGGCTCCCTGCTCGGCGGGGAGTCTGCTTCTCCCTCTGACCCTCCCCCCTCTCATGTGCTCTCGCTCTCTCTCTCTCTCATTCTGTCTCAAATAAATAAATAAAATCTTTTAAAAGCTGTTTTTTAAGGAAACTAACCTTGTCACAGTGTGCAAAATGACTAGCAAGGCTGAGCCTGGAGGCAAGGAGGTCAGGTGGGAGATTGTAGAAAGAATCCAGGTCTGGAGTGATAAGGGTCTGGGCTACTGAGGTGCTAAAATTTCAAAGGTAGAAATATTAGTAACAGCAATCCAGCAACCATTTATGGAACATCTACTAGGTATCAAGCACACCGTAACTATTATATATAGTATGGAAACTGAAGCTCAGAGAGGTCAGTTACCTTGCCTGAGGTCACATAGGTCACAGTAGTAGAGCTGGGATCTGCATGAGTCTTAGTTACCCTGGCCTAAGCCTGTGCCGTACACCTGTATCTGACAGCAAGGGACAGAAGAGCATGAAGAGTACAAAGTATTATCAGGATCTTCAGGTGAGATGCACTATTGACATTGAAGCTCAGGTGCCGGAAAGTTGGGAGGAAGGGATGCTTTGGACTGAGAATATGAATTTTGGTTGAGATGAAGGTGATAGTAAGACATTTAGATAATGGATCCTGTGGACGATTGGCAACACCAGACTAGCACATGAATGATGAGACAATATGCGGATACTGAATTGTTGCTTATTGCTGTAGAGGTAACTGTTGAAGCCATGCAAATGAATTTACTATCCTAGGAAGTAAACAGATTGAAAGACCCAAGTCTGAGCTATGGGAGCCACAGAAGAATCCAGAAACGGGGCAGTTGGAGTTGGAGAATGGAGCCCTAGAAAACACAGTGTTACAAGAGTCCCAGAGAGAAGATTTCAGAAGAAAAGAATAGTTAATATTAGATCATTCTTGGCCTCACCAGTGACTCCCTCCCCAGTCCTCTATAGGGCCTCCAACCTCATGACCCCCAGACTCCTAGAGCATAGGTGGAGCGAGGGCCTGAGCACCTGGGCTGGGTCCTGCTGGGATCATATCTTAACAGCCAGCTGAGAAGGCGAGTTGACAGTGGAGAAAATGGGGAAAGAGAGAGGACCCAGAGCCTGACCTGTGAGGGAAGGAGGAAGGGGTGGGGTTTCCGAAGATCAGAGGAGGACACCTGACTTGCTGTCCTAGGTCTTATACTACATTTTTTTTTTTTAAGATTTTATTTATTTGAGAGGGAGAGAGAAAGAGTGAGAGCAGGGGGAAGCAGACTCCCCACTGAGCAAGGAGCCCAATGCAGGACTCGGTTCCAGGACCCTGAGATCATGACCTGAGCCGAAGGCAGACGCTTAACTGACTGAGCCACCCAGGCGCCCCGCCACTTTACTATGTTATTAAATTCTCAGCACAACCCATTTAAACCTCACTACCATTGCCATTTTACAGATTAGAAAAACAAGGCTCAGAGAGGCCAGTTGATAGAGTAAGGATTTGAACTTGGTTTATCTGGTCCTAATGCCCAGGCTCTTTTTCCCAAACTGAGTGGGAAGTTTGCTTTTTATCAGTCAGTACAACCCTGCATCCAGGCGAGGCTCAGGAATGGTTTGCTCAGAGTAAAGATACCTGGGGGCTGGAGAGGGGAAGTGAAGACCCCATGAAGCTTAGGATTCAAGATGAACTAGAAGCCAGTGTTCCAGTCCCCTCAGACTGACCGCACTATCAGCTGGAGAAGGTTCCAAAGGCCATCAGCTCTAATAGTTGCCAATGCCCTGTCTTTTTCCCTCAGATGCTCACATATATTCTGAGCTTCCTGCCTCTGTCAGATCAGAAAGAGGCCTCCCTCAGATCAGAAAGAGGCCTCCCTCGTGAGTCGGGCTTGGTACTGTGCAGCCCAGAATGCCCTTCGGGAGGTAAGGTGGCCACCCTCACCTGGCCCATTCTCAGCCGTCTCTCACTCCAGTTTGCTCATGGCCCTGCTTCCACATCGTCCATTCATCCATGCATACATATACATACGTTACATTCATACACACTTGACTCTGGGTCCAGTGCTGGGACTTGACAGATGAGTAAGATAGAGTCCCCTGCCCCAAGGAGCTCACAGTCCGGTGAAGGAGAAAGACAAGTACATGAGTGATGGTGATGTCGTGTGCTTGGTGCTGTGACACTCGCATGAGCGGTGCAACAAGAACAGGAAGAAGGACGTCCAGAGGAGACCAGCAGCATGAGGGAAGGCTTCCTGATGGAACGGGATGAGGCGGAAGGTTGGTCTTCCGGGACCGGTGGTAGCACAGGTAGAGACACCAAGGTGTGAAATGGCTCTGTAAACGCCCACCCAAGTCCCCTACGGCTAGAACGGAGATGGGTGTAGGAGGGGTGGGAGATGA